CAAACAGAAAACACCAAAACAAACAAACAAAAACCTCACAAACAAGCAAGCGAAAACCAAACCAAGGCGGGAGCTGGAGAGATGGCTCATACTGTCCTTGCAGAGGACCTGAGTCCAATTCCCCCCACCCGTGTGTGTGTGTGTGTGTGTGTGTGTGTGTGTGTGTGTGTGTGTGTGTGTGTCGGCTCATGACCACCTGTGACTCCAGTCCCAGGGAATCCGATGACCTCTGCAGGCACCTGCACTCACATGCACACGCCTAGACAGACACACATACATAGAGATAAAAAATAAAATGAGCTGGGTGGCAATGGCACACGCCTTTAATCCAGCACATGGGAGGGAGGCAGAAGCAGGCTGATCTCTGTGAGTTCAAGGCCAGAGCAAATTCCAGCTTCACAGAGAAACTCTGCCTAGAAAAACCAAAATAAATAAAATGAATCTTTTCAAAAAAAAAAAAAAAAAGTGGGTGATGGTGGTGAATGCCTTTAATCCCAGCACTCGGGAGGCAGAGACAGGCGGATCTCTATGAGTTTGAGGCCAGCCTGGGCTACAGAGAGTTCCAGGACAGGCACCAAAACTACACAGAGAAACCCTGTCTCGGGGAAAAAAAAAAAAAAAAAAGAGAGAGAGAGATAGAAAGGAAAAAAGAAAAGAAATTCCATCAAGGAGGAGGGTGCCGGAGGAACACCATGAGTTTGTCCTCTGGCCTCTCCATGCACATATGCGCACACATACACACACACACACTCATTCTCTCTCTCCAGAATATTCCAATACAATGCCAAGGTCAGGAACCCCTATAAAGCGAGAACTTGGTCTCTGCCATTGCCAGTCTGTCTCCCGATACTGCCACCCCCTCCGCCTCACGCAGAGCTCTACCCACTGAGGTATACCCCCAAGCTGATTAAGGGCCACAGCTAATAGGCTTAGAGCTTAAAAGGGGAGATTAATTACGGTCCCTGTGCCCCAACACCACCTCCCCACTGAGACTTCCAGGGCAGGGACTGGATGAGTCTTTCTTTTAAGGCTTGGCAGGAAGATGGAGTTGCCTGGCAGGGAAACCAGGGTTCGTGGGGAGACGTACGCTGCCAAAGTACTTGTCCAGGAGCTCCACGTAACGGTGGATCAGCTCCAGTGTGATCAGCTCATTGTCTTGACCTTCGATGGCGCAGCAGAAATAGAGACTGGCGTATCTGGAGAGGAAACCGAGAGACAGAGTTAGGAGCTGGCTTCGGGACCTTGGAGCTGCAGGTCCAACCTGCCCGCCAGCCTGAGGTCCTCCGATAGTACACAGACATGGTGGTCCCAGCGGGTACCAAGACTAACGCTTTTCAGACTGTGAGCGTGCTTCAGAAACACACAAGTTTCATTCCATTTCCTCTCTTCTCGCCAGCTGACCCGCCCGGTTGGACTCAGCCGAAATCTGAGCCAGTTTACACGCTTGCTCAGAGCAGAAGGAACTAGAAAGGGAGGGTGTGGGAACGTGGGCGTGTGGATTGGGAAAAGTGGGGTGAGGCCTCAGTGTGGTGAATGAGACTGGGAGGGACCTGTATGTGGGCAGGGGAGTCTTCGGGGTACACGTGCAAGAGGCTGTGTCAGAAAACCAAGAAGGAAGCAATAACTGAGAAGAACTCAGAAGTAAAGGGAAGAGGGGATTCCTGACCAGCCTGCAGATTCCTCAGCTCCTCGGAACTCTCCCGACTTCAAAGAGAGTTAGTTATTTCCCAGCCATTTTAACCCAGTCACCTCTTATAGACAACTTTGAGGTCCCTCCACTCCAGGAAGCTGCACATCTTGGGCTTTCGAGCCAGGACGACCTGCATGAGCTCTCGGACCATCTTCTTCCTCTCCTTGTCTGAGGTGGCCAGGTACCATTTTTGCAGCCGGAGTTTCCCCTGCCGGCTGAACAGGAGCATGAATCGCATCTGGAAGGGAGGAAGGACCAGAGCTGAGGGACAGACATTCATCGCTACCTTCTTCAAAACTTCTGTCCCAGATGTCAACGCTGGGTAGAGAAGAATGTTTTTCCTGAGGGAAAGTCAAAGATTTTCCTGCCTGCGGTTTGAGTTCGAATCCTGGCTCTACTAGCTGAGTACAACGTCAGGCCAGGCAGCTCAATTGGTTCAGCTGCTTGCTACCAAGCCTGACGACCGGAGGTCAATACCCATGACCCCATGATCCACATTACAGAAGAGAACTGACGCCCACGAGCCGTCCTCTAACCTCTACACTCACACTGTGGCAAGCACCCACCTTGCCCACACACATATGATAAAATAAATAAACATAAAAACATTTTAGTGTGTGTGTGTGTGTGTGTGTGTGTGGTTTCAGAAGACAGCTTTTGGGAGAGGGTTCTCTCCTACCATGTGAGCCCCAGGGATCAAATTGAGATTCTCAGTCTTGGCAGCAAGCGCCTCTCCGCACTGAGCCATCTTATTGTCTTTGAAACTTAGTTTCTTTACCCACAAGATAGAAACAATAAAGTTACTTTCCTTATAGAATTCTTTTAAGATTTCTCTTTCTCCTTATTTTTTAAAGATATTTAACTTTGTGTGTTGGAAATAGTCACGTGAATGCCTGTTGGATCCCCCAGGACAAGGGTTACAGATGGTTGTGAGCCGCCATGGGGGTGACGGGAATCGAGCCCAGGTCCTCTGCAAGAACAACACATGCCCTTAAGCCCGGAGCCGTCTCTCCAGCCCGGTTTTAATCATGTGGAAGTGTGGGTTGTGTGTCTACACAGCCGGGAGCCGCACCTGAGAGCAGGTGCCCATGGAGGCCAGAGGCATCACATCTGCCGGATCTGGAGGATCTGGAGTTACAGACGGTCGGTCGGAGCAGCCTGGCACAGTGTGGGGAACTGAGCTGGGTTCCGGAAGAGCAGCCAGTGCTCCCAATGGCTGAGCCATCCGTCCCCCTCTCCTCCCCTAAGGAATTCTTAAATGAGTTAATTCATGGGGGTGCGTAGCACACAGTAGGCCCTACAACATGCTAGGTGCTGTTATTCCCTGACCTCCTGTTTCCTAAGCTTGTTTCCCATGAGGAATAAGATGCCTGCCCTCATGACAAGAGATGTCAACAGACTACAGTTCTACTAATGTTCCTTCTAGACCCCATACCTCAGAGAGGTCGGGTCTCTACCCATCCTGCCATAAGGCCTCAGATGCCCCGTGACCTACGGCCTCTCCATGCCAGTCCCATGCTTGTTGACAGTCTTGTCTGTATCGCACATATATCTGAATTGCACTTGGTACAGGGACATTCAGGTCTTGCCCTCTGCCATCCACACATTTGGATCCTAGTGCTGGCTTTCTTTCCATTTTTTTTAAAATGTTATTTTATATTGGGGGGAAGGCACCCGTGTGCCACAACCCACATGTGGAGTTCAGAGGACAACTTTGTGGAGTCAGTTCTCTCCTTCCACCATGAGGGTCCCAGGGACTGAACTCAGGTTGGCAGGTACAAGCTGAGCCATCTCTCTGGCCCTCTTTTCTTTCTCTTTCTTTTTTTGAGGCAGTGTTTCATGTAGCTCATGCTGACTGACCTAAATTCCCTATGTAGCCCAGGCTGCCCTTGATTTCCTGATCCTCCTGCTTCTACCTCCTGAGTGCCAGGGTTACAGGTGTGTGCTAAAAGGCCTGACCTTTCATCCCAGACACCAGATCCCCCAGTCCCTCACTGAGGGTCCGGTCACCCAGATGGCTCTCCTAGGGAATGTCTGAGGAATAAAGAGCAAGCAGAGTCCTCACAGCTCTGTGGATCTAGTTTTTCCCCAGGTGCAGGGGTTCCTGATTCCATATCCTGAACTCAGTTCCCAGCAAACAGATCTGTGAACATGGCCAGGGCTGGAATCTCTGGGTGTGTGCGGCACTTCCAGCTTATAAATGAAAAGGAACAAAGACCCCAGAAACTAGGGGCGGGGGCTGGTGGGGGGACAGGGACTGGGAAGAACTGAGAAAGCCGCGTGCGGCTAAGCTACAGAGGTGATAACTACAGCAGGAAGACGGAAGGCCTGGGTTCCGGAAAAGAAACTGGATTGGGGAGGGTGCAAGCCGGGAATGCCGAAGTCGGGGAGTCCTCCAGTCCTAGGTCCCCCGGCTGCGAACACCGGAGCCCACCCGAGCTGCAACTCGGAGCGAGCTCGGTCGAGGCGCAGGAGGTGAACTCCGGAGACCCGGAAACCGTCCCCTCCCACACGGTTCTCCCCGGTCCCGGGCCTCCTGGGGAGGGGATTCGGCGCCCTGCGACCCTCCGGAGCGACCCCGGCGCCCCCTCCTCGTGTGCCTTCCCCTGCAGCAGTGACCGGGGCCGTCTCGAGGACCGAACCCCGCGCCCCGAGCGCCGCGCCCTGCTCGGGACGGTCCCGCCACCCTCCAGCCCAGTCCCCTCTCTCTCCCCGCCCCTGTCCCGAGTGCCATTTCCAGCTCCCGAGGTCGGCTCGCCCCGGCCGCTCCGGGAAGTGGATCCTCGGCGGACCGCAGGGAAGACAGGACGACTCCCACCACAGGCGGGCCCCCCCTCTCCTCCGGACCCCCGCAGGTACAGCCCACGCCCCTCGGGTCCCCGTCCCCTCCCTCCCAGCACAGCCTACCATCCTGCAGCCTCCGGCCCGGCACGTCCCTCTCCGGCCACCGTAGGCGCCAGCTCCACTCCCCGTCCGATTCTTTTCTTTTCCCTCCCTCTCCGCCTGAAAGCCCCGCCCCTCCCGGGCCTCGCCGGCTGCCTCGAGCGGCCGCACTGCGCAGGCGCCAACGCTGCCGCGGTGCACCCCCCCACCCCCACCCCCCTCCCATCCCACCCGGCGCGCGGGCGGGGCTGGAGGCGGAGAAGCGGAAACCATGGCAACCAGGTCCTTGACTTCGGCTTTGCAGAAGCTCGGTCGCCATGGTAACAAGGCTGCCTTGGTGGGTTGATTGGAGGATGGGAAGGGGGGGTCGGGGGACAATGAAGGGCCTCGAGCTGGGGAGCATTTGTGGGGGGGGGAAGGCGGGAAAAGGGTGAGAGGTGAGCCAGGAGGGATGATGCGGGGAGCTGATCACCGAGGGGGAGCACGGGTCGCTAGAAGAGGAGGAATGATCTGGAAAACGCGGGTCCAAGGTGGCGGCGGGGCCGCACGAGGGAAAGACAGAGGGGAGCAGAGGTCGAGAGCAGCCCGGGGCGACATAACAGTACCCTGTCCCCCAAACACACAAGGCGGTGTGGCGGTGCACACCTGAGATTCCAGCCGTTGGACGGCAGCCACAGCAGCAGCTCGTGGCCCAAGCCCAGCTCAGCCAAGTGGCGTGGTCGAGACCACCCCAGGCTACAAGCCCGTCTCAAGCACAGTGAAACCGAACAGTGCGGGTGTGACCGCTCCGATCATACAGCTGGTCCCCCAAACCCAAGGTGAGAGGACGTAACGGACTCCTGCAAGTTGTCCCCTGACACCCCCACAATCGAGCACCCTGGCGTGTGCACGCTCCCACACGGCACGCTCCCGAGCAACACAAAATACATATATGAAATGTAATCTTGAAACTAAAACACCAGGTAGTGGTGGCCCACGCCTTTAATCCCAGCCCTTGGGAGCCAGAGGCAGGCGGATCTCTGTGAGTTCGAGGCCAGCCTGGTCTACAGAGTGAGTTCCAGGACAGGCACCAAAACTACACAGAGAACTTTGTCTCAAAAAAAAAAAAAAAAAAAAAACCCCAACAACAAACAAACAAAAAAAAAAAAAAAAACCAAACAAACATATATAGTCGTGCGTACAAGTGATGGTTTACACTTGTAATACTAGAGTTTGGAAAGTAGAGGCAGACAGATCAGGATCACCAGTTCAAAGTTATCTTTGGCTACATAACAAGTTCACAGTCTGGGCTGAGACGCTATGTCAAAAACAAAACCAAACAACGACAGAACAGCCAAACAAACAGCAAAACTACACACACACACACACACACACACACACACACACACACAAATCATATTAGCCAGGCATCATTGTACGTGCCTGTAATCTGATCCCTGGGGAGGCAGAGGCAAGAGGATTGGTCAAGAGAGTTCAAGGCCAGCCTAGGCTATGTAAAGAGAGAAGCTGTCTTAATAATAAATAAATAAGTAAAAACAAACAGCAACAACAAACCCCCAATTCAAAACAAAACAAAAAGAGCGTGGGTCAACATTAAAATGCAACCGATGTAAATGACACCTAAATGTGAACTCAAAAAGAATTGTAGCAGGAGCTTCTAGCGGTCTCTCCCTCTCCATTTCCCTCTCCCTTTCTTGTCTCTCTCTCCACTAAAGAGGTGTGGATGTGAGGGAAACACTCAGTGTGTTTAGGCTGAAGGTTTAAAACCACACTCACCCTTTATCCTCTGGAGATGGCACCCCAAGTCTCCCAGGCGACTCCTGAAGCCTCAGACTGTGTGAAATCATCTACTGAAGTTTTCCTATACCTATAATAAAGCTTAATTTATAAATTATGCACAGAATGAACCTAAGGACCAAAATAACAATAAGGACTAAAGATAGGAGCTGGAGAGGTGGCTTGGCGGTTAAGAGCAGGTACTGCACTTGGAGGGGACCCTAGTTCAGGTCCCAGTGTCCCCAGTGGGTGACTCACAAGTGCCTCTAATTCCAGCTCCAGGGATCCAGCACCTACTTCTGGCCTTCGGGGTCATCTTCACATCTGCATGCGTGTGCCCATACATAGACACACATGAATAGAAATTAAAAAATAAATATTACAAAGCCCACGTGCTGAAGTGGAACAGTTATGACAATGTGTTGCCATGGAGTTATCGCCCTCGCTACTTTTGTGCTTCGGAGTCTCTCAGCAGAACACGCGGTATTTCAACGCAGGCGCTGGGCTCAGTCTGACAACCAAGATGGCCACTGAGTAATGAACGTGTGAGTACTGGACAATGAGACGATGTGGGACGGGGGAGTCCCTAAGAATGGCATTCGATTCAGAGCTCTCGACCTGGGGCAGGGCATGTGGCTCAGCTGGCAGAGGGCTGGCTCGCCCGTGTGAAATCCTGGGTTCTGCCCCCAGCACAGCACACCTCGGGTGAAGCGGTGAACGCCTGTCATCCCAGCCCTTGGGTGGTGGAGGCAGGAGGATCAGGGGTTGAAAATCGTTTCTCTCTATATAGCTAGGTCAGGGCCAGCCTCGGGTACATCAGACGCTGTCAGACAAAAAAAAAAAAAAAAAAAAAAGGCCAGTGAGATGACTGAGCAGGTAAAGGCATTTGTCCCCAAGCCCTGACCTGAGTTTGATTCCTGGAACCTGTGTCGTGGAAGGAAAACCTGGTGCCCACAAGTTGTCTTCTGATCATCCATGCCCCGGCAAGTGCACACACACAATAAATAAACAAGTAAATAAATGTATAATAAGGCAGAATGGCGGCAGCGGTGGCATACGCCTTTAATCCCAGCACTTGGGAGGCAGATCTCTGAGTTCGAGGCCAGCCTTGGTCTACAGAGCAAGATCCAGGGCAGATACCAAAACTACACAGAGAAACCCTGTCTTGGAAATATATGTATATTAAAAATAAATAGGAAGCTTGTGGATTGTTTACTTCTGGGTATTTGCATTTAATATTTTTGGGTTACAGTTGACTTTAGGGAACTGAAACTACAAAGACTTTAACTGAATAAGGTTGGGGGCAAGGAACAACTGTATTTAAAAAAATTGTTTTTATTTTTAAATTGTGTGTGTGTGTGTGTGTGTGTCTGTCTGTCTGTCTATGTATGTGGGTATGCTCATGTGAGTATGGGTTAGAGGCAGTTGTAGGCTTCCCGATGTGGGTGCTGGGGACTGAACTCGGGTCCTCTATAAATGCTCTTGACAGCAAAGCCTTCTCTCCAGCCCTGTGTTTTATTATTATCACATATTTTATTGTAATTTTTAGACAGAATCTCATTATGTACCCATGGCTAGCCTGGAATTCACTCTGTAGCCCAGGCTGGCCTTAAACTCACAGAGATCCGCCTGGCTCTGCCTCCTGAGTTGTGGGATTCAAGGCGTGTGCCACCACTGCCCGGCTTGTCTTTAACTCTTACTAAGCTGCCTCAGTATAGGTGAGCCATTCAACTTGCCCTCTCCTTATTTTTTTTTAAATTATTTATTTTTATTTTATGTGCAATGGTGTTTTTGCCTGTACATATGTCTGTGTGAGGGTGTCGGATCCTCTGGAACTGGAGTCACAGACAGTCACCATGTGGGTGCTGGGAATTGACCCTATGGCCTCTGGAAGAGCAGCCGGTGCTCTTAACTGCAGGACCATCTCTCCAGCCCCCTCCATCTTTTTATTTAAAAAAAAAAAAAAAAAAACCAAAGGGTTGGGCTGGAGAGCGGCTCCGTGGTTAAGAGTGCTGACTGCTGTTTGAGCAGATCCAGGTTCGGGTCCCAGTACCCACACTGGGTTCACCACCACTTGTAACTCCAGCTCTACAGGATCTGACACCCTCTGGCCTCTTCGGGCACCACGTATGTACATAGTACACATAGACTCATGCAGGAACATACACACGTATACACATAAAAATAAATAGAGTTTTCTAAAGTGAAGGATTGGCAAGATGGCTCAATGGGTAAAGACATCTGCAGGCATAAAATAAATAAATAAAAGGTCTTTTTAAAAAAAAGACCGTTTAGCTGGGCGGTGGTAGTGCACACCTTTAATCCCAGGACTCGGGAGGCAGAGGCAGGCGGATCTCTGTGAGTTTGAGGCCAGCCTGGGCTACAGAGCGAGATACAGGAAAGGCACAAAGCTACACAGAGAAACCCTGTCTCGAAAAACCAAAAAAAAAGAAAAAGAAAGAAAAGAAAAAAGACAGTTTAATGAGTAAAAGTACCTGCTACCAAGCCTGATAACTTGAATTTGATTCCCACCCAAACAGTGGAAGAATAAATAGTAATAAACTCATAGTGTGTACTCTCTCTCCTTCTCCTCTGCTCTCTGGAGTAGAGGTATGGACACACGCGATTCTCACATACAGTTCCCATGAACCTCCACTCATATTATGGCAAGTTCATACTCCCTGTCTCTGTCTCTGTCTCTGTCTCTGTCTCTCTCTCTCTCTCTCTCTCTCTCACACACACACACAGGCACACACAAATAAACATTAAAGAAAGAGGAGAACAGAGCCAGCCAACAGACTGCTAAGTTTGGAAGCTCCAGAGATACAAGCCCCTACACTCCCTGGAAAGCTGAGAAATCCTAGAATTCCTCATCGCACTTTGCTTAACTGCGGAAAAGAGGCGATTCACAAGAGAATTGTCTGGAAGATAGGTGTTGCCGACCCGGCTCGCTAGGTGTGGAAGCTGGCCATTGTTCCTGTGTGGTTTGCCTATCTTGTCTTTCCACCTAGAAGATGGGAGAGCAGCAAGATCCTGAAGGGGGGAATGGGAGGTGACAGCCCCATTACCTGTTCGCCTCCTGCGCCAGGCATGTAGCTCAGTATGCTGCTTGGCTGATAAGAATGAAACCCTGGGTTTGACCCCCAGTGCCTAGTATAAACAGCTGTAGCTGCACACACTTGTAATCCCAGCACTGGAGAGGGAGAGACAGGAGGTTCAGGAATTCCAAGTATTTAGATGCTAGACAGTGAGTTCAAGGTCAGCTTTGGGCTATGTGAGGTTTTGTATCCAAAGCAAAACAAACAACAAGATAACAAAACAAACAGGAGGAGGAGGAGGGGAGGAAGAAGAAGAAGAAGAAGAAAGAAGAAGAAGAAGAAGAAG